TTTTTAGGTATGTTTTCAAATCTGCTCAATAAGCAACTTTCCGTTTGGTTCGATGTTCAGTTCCTGTTCTTAATTGTTAATCTTAACTTTTGTACATAAAGGCACTTTTTGATTACAAGGTTTAAGCTCGAATTATGCGATCTTTTGATGTTTATAAAAGAGAAGGTTATATAACTTTGAACGCCGTGATTTAGTAAAAAATTAGGCGTTGTCATTAGTTCATCAACCACCCAAAGCGTAATGAGTATAAGTAAGTATAGGTAAGTAATAAGTATTCGAATTGGCTGTGAAAATGGTTCAAAAGCTCTCCGCTTATTTGATTATAGAGATGCCTTCAAAGAGAAAATTGCATTTTCAGTTCGAAAATTCCTCAGCTTTATTTCGGTTTTTAGATTTTGAAATTTGACAGCTAATCATGCAGCTCTACTATCTGATTCTGAGAGTCGTTTATGTGTAGATGATGGCTAATTCCCTATGGGTTTCAAAAATAGGAGCACTGACTTAGCAGCAATTGCATCGAAAAAAGGTAGAAGAAAGAAAACCAAGATTTTTTTTATCACACACTGAACACCTCAAAAATAAAGTTCTTACTTTGGCACGGAAATATGTTTTTCACAACTTTTGCCTGATGCTTGAAGCCATTATTCTGGACCATGTACAGCTCAAAATACTCCACCAAATTCTAATTTTATTTCGTGAATAGGCTGCTTTTGAATTCTTGACAAAGCGGCTCACCTTCACCCGCTTCACTGAATTGCCGAATTTTGAAGACGTATTCTGATGCTTGCAGAAGTCCACCGATTTCGTATAGACCAGACACACCTAGAACAAGTTACTTAGGTAGATCAAATAGATCAAGAGCAATCCTCACTTTTGTTTCTTTTGTGTTTCACACTATGTTCGTTCCAGAAACTATCGCTAATGCTATCCGAATCTTCCTATAAACAAAATAAGTCAATCTGATAGATCTCTACATACTTGGGTAACTAAACCCACCTCTAATTTTTCGTCTACCAAAGCTTTTCTGAGATAATCGATTTCTATATCTTTGATTGGAAGTTCTCCTTCTTCCTAAAGTGATTCCAGATAACAAATATTCAAGGTCCTCATTTTTACTGTACACGCAAACCTGTTTATTTTCGATCTTCCAAATAATTGCATGTTTTTTGACGTTATATAATGTGACTTTAGGCTCGGATGGTGGATCTAAAGAGATAATTTGATTCATGTAAATTTTAGAGGGAAACTCACTAGTTTCTTTCAAATGGATGGTCATTGTGTTTTTGGCTTTTCCATTATTAACTTCGCAACGATATTCACTCAAATCGTCTTCGTCCACGTCAAAAATCTGAAAATTTTCAATTATGTACAGGTTGAATATATGGATTGCTTGATTTGATGATTCCTTGCAGCAACGAGTTCAAGGTTTTTCTAGCTATATTTGAAAAAATCAACTACAAACTGTCCACTCTGTACATAACAGGTCTATGAAGTTCAAAAACGAAATGAAAAAGTTGCGGCACTGCAACGGCCTTTAACAAAATTACCTCGCGGCGAAGTAGAAGAAAGTTTGTTTTTCATATACAAAATCCAATTCATCAATCAGACCAAATTTTCAAAAATTTCAAAAGTCCAATATGTAGCTTTAAACCGTCTGCACTTAACAATGAGCTTTTCCTTTTCAAAAGGTCAGTAAAAGTTATAACATCTCGATTGTTTGTCAGGATTAACACGTCGCGACCGAAAAATCCGTCACGATCCGATTTTTGAGAATAATTAGAAGCAGAATAGTGTACCTTATGTACATGCAAGATCTATGTGGTGTTTTAGTCCTCTAAACAGCATTCCCTTTGGTCATTCTTTCAAATGACAAGCGTTCCCTTACGGCCTCGGGCATAGTTAGCGCGATTTCACTGATTGCGCGATCTGGCAGCTTGCCAGAAGTCTTCAAAAATCCAACTTTGGCAATACAAATACACAAGTTGTATAAGTTTGATGAAAAAACGGAATATCCCATCTTCTGTACATTTAGAATGGGCTTACGATGACTTATGGACAACTGGAGTAGTGCCAAATCGCGACTGAAATCGCGTGAACTATACGCGAAGCCTCTAGCTATTTTCGTAAAAAAAATCAAATTTTCGATTTCCCCCACATGAGCTGGTTTGCATCCAATGAAATGTTCTTTAATGGCTCCAACAAAAACGTGGAAAGCGTTGCTGTGTATCTCTCAGTCCAATGTGACTCACCCTCAGTTTGGCCCATTTGTGATCGTTGTCAACGGTCACATTATACTTCGACGGATCAGTCAGTTCATTTCCTCCTCGATAAAATGTGTAAAGAATCGGTGGTGGATTTGAAGCTGAAACAGCGCAGAGCAGTTCCACCTGGAAATAGCTCAGAATCAAAAATTTACATAAGAATAAAGATTCTAGTAATTGTTCTGCAGCCTATTGCCTTGCAAAGCCTTTCAATTTTTTGCTAAATTCATTATGTTCGTAACACACCTCTCGAGACTTCTCATCCACTATAGTATATTGATCAACAGAGGCTTTCTCGAATTCGGGTTTGTCTAAAAATAGAAGATTTGGCTCTTATTATACGAAAATCAATTATGTACGAAGCGAAGCAATGCTTTTTTTTGGTTGCGAGTAAGAACAAATACTTATCCTCCTATCTTCACTGGCTAACGAAAGTAACAGAAAAAATGAGAATAGAAAAAGTGGAGTACATAGTATTCAACAAGATTTTCGATAACTCAAAAATTTTCAAAAGTTGAAAAATCGTGGAGTTATAGTTTGCTAATCTATAACAGGTTCTACAAACTCATTAAGTTTGATTCCGTTTTAAGTAGTTTAGGTGAAGATATGGTCAATGAGATGGGGTTGAATTTTTTTGGAGCTTTCTAGTGTAGAATTGTAGCCTAAGAAACTGGATTGGGGTCTATTTTGTCTTTGCCAATTTTTACAAAGATAAGCAATGAGAGAGATATATTAGATTGAACCGAAAGTTCTGTAGCACCATTTTCAAGAAATCGTAACTTCTTCCTATCAATCCCGATGTTTTTGCATGGTTATATTTATTGAAGAAGGCAAACGATGCACTTTCTAGTATATAGCAATATATGAGGCAATTGTAAGAAAACAGAAATCGATGTTATTTTTTCCTAGAGCATTAGGCGATCTACAAATACACATTTTTATGCTCTCTTATTATTCAGTTCAAGAGCAAGTAACTGAGTGGATGAAAATAGTAAAGTAGACTCTTTTTTGAAAAAAGAAGTGCTATTATTCCTTTAATGTATTTACAGAAAAAGCTAAAGATAAAGAATTCCATAGAATGATTTGAGAGAATAGCTCATGTTTTATTTTCAACGGAGCTGCTGAAGTGTGTAGGTCTGGGAAAAATCATGGAAAACCCAGCGGTTTAGAAAAAAATCATAAAAAATCCAGCGCTACAGTTCCGAACAAGGACAACTTTTTCTAAGGGAATTTCCCACTTTCCCAGCTATTCAAGTCCCCAACAAAAAAGCAGCTCCGTTCAGATCTCAAGACCGAGCTCGACATGTTGCATTCACTAGATCTTCTAGAGGGTCATAAATCTACTACGACGATCCTTATCGATGTAGGAGAATGATAAATAGCCTTTACATGCACATTCTTACTCACACCATACGTCAATGTTCACTTCACGCCTGTCAATGATTGGAAGTTCATCTTTGCCATAGGATTCGATATGAACACAGCTGATCTTCTGTAAACGACGAGTTTTTTGCACCAAGTGGTCTCGAACAGATTAGATCCAACACACCTTTCCATCATAGTCTTTGGTTAAACGTTCCACGGTCACTTCCTTGCCAGCAATTGTGTACATGCTTGCTAAAAAATGAAAGTAAGTTCAAACGTAAAAAGATAAGCTCCAATGAGGATTTTTCAGACCTACTGACATATTCGTGCCAGTGAAACAGGATTGCTTTTAGTGTTCAATTAGAAACCTTCTCAGATTATAGCATTTAGGTTAGAATGATATGTGTGCAATTGCACCAAATGCTTTGTGTTCAAGGAAATGCGCAAACCAGTTAGCGCTGTTTAGTATTTACAGTTTCACTCTATTTGCCTAAATTAGTAATATTCCAGAAAAAATTCGAATTTTGTGGGAATTTCCTCCCCCTTCTACGCATGGCATTGTTATGACTAAACTATAACTTTTCGCATTCTCAAGTAATAGTGCATTGTTCTAGTTTTTTCTTCTTCCTTTAACTTACTACTGCTGCACAAAAAAAAAATTCGTGGCTGTCAGTTTTTTGGCAACTACGTACTCGCGACCCTAATGGAATGAGAAAATAAATTATTCATAGGAACGACTACAAAGAAGGAGATTGTTCAATTATTTTGAACTAGAAAATGCTAGTACTCTATACTTTACAAACTCAAATACACTTATTAATTTGGGCAGATAAAATTTCATTCTTAAATGCAGGGATTGGTGCAATTGCACACATTACCATATGAAACGGCTCACCAAGATCTTGCAAAACCAAGTTTCAAAAAATTGTTTAGAATGGAGATAATCAAGCGATTGAAAAGCTATGTATGAAGACTTCAGTACTTACGATCCAAAGTTTCTCCTTCGCTATCGGTGATTGTAATCTGATGCTCTTCATCATCACCATTTACTCCACAGTCGATGGTAAGCGGTTCACCAAGAAGAGCACCAGCAGAATGTGATTCATCATTCCATCGTATATCATCTAATTTTTCAGTTTTAGACAGATTTTTGCAGAAATTCTTGCAGTCTAAACCCCTATGACTCACTTAAAACCACTACTTTCACCGCTCTTGAATAGGTCTGTCCTCCAAGACTTCTTGCCCGGCACTCGTATGTGCCCTCATCGCGTTTGTGTATGGACGTAAAGTGGAGATTTTTCTTTTTATATCGCGTCCCATGTTCTAACAGTCCAGTGGTGAATATACTGGAATTTGATTCTTGAACGAGACTTAATTGATAGATCACTTGCATCAGTTTCCACGCTCCGAGACTAAAATGGAAGCCAAGGGGGACGGAAATACAAGCCTATGCAAACATCCGGATCCGATACGTGTATCAGTGCTCTATCGACCGAAAAAAAGAGGTAGTTGAATGGCTTATTAGGCCACCTGGATAAACACTAGGCTTTTGGTAAAGCTATGCTGTAATCCTATATTGGTTCAAGTTCGAAAAAATCGTGGTCATTCACAATTTAGAGAAAAATTTGAGGAGAAACTCAGCAAGTGGAAGTTTTGATCCTTTTTCATGCTCATGAGTAGAGTGGAACATTTTTGAAATACTCAAGTTTCTTCAAATTTACTCGGGTATGTATATTAAGATATTGTATATAATACGTAGAAAATATTGTACAGATGCAAACAATTACCTAAGCATGGTCAAATGAATTTTGTAGAAAAATGTAGATACAACAATTACGAATTTTTGAATATCTATAATTTTGTTTGTTCTTTGAAGTGCAAAGGAGTATGCGATACTCATGAAAGTTTAGTTTAACTCTTCTTTCAAACAAAGTGTACAACCTCTAAATCATTTAAGGAACCGGTAAAAGATCTAGAAGTTATTCACTGTGTTTAAAAGAGAATTGAACTAAATTTTTATTGGCATAGTGTCGCATTTACTCATTCGCAACCCAATCATTTATTATGTAAAAACTTAGTTAATAACTTGGTGGCTATAGGCTATCTCTTTAAAAATCACAAAAATCTCTAGTTTCTATGTTTTTTGAACACAACTTTATCTCGAAAAAAGAAAAGAAAAATGTTGTACACCAGCTGAAACGGTGGCGGTACCAATAGTCCTTTACATCTCTTCATTGATGTTAGACAGAACTTATTTTATGTTTAATCATTTCTTTTTTCTTTCAAATGCATTCTGAGTGCATACTATAAACAAAACATAAACAAAAGTATCTTTGCGTCATTATTCGGAACTTTGTTTTACTATACTAACGAGAATATGAGCAAATCTACCTGGAGCTACTGCTTCCATCAATCATCCTGGCGCCAATTTTATGCCATTGTAGATCAGAAATGTCCGCAATATCATCCCTTCCATAAACACATTCAACCATGAGTGGTTTTCCTGAAAAAAAAAACAATCTTT